CACTTGAAACCTATTCCTACTTTAGTCAAGTGTTGTCTGTTGTGTTTTGGAGGATGAGTGTAAACTCTTAATGGAGTTGATCATTTCTAAGTGTTTATAGCAACAGAGACATAAAGAACTCCACCTAAATGGTCATAGAAGTGGTGCCGCTTCAACAAGAAGATGTTGGATTCTCTTGTAGATGACCATTATTAGCAAGATGAGCACATGGCCATAATAGTGCTAAAAGGTGTTAAACCTCTTGGATTAGGTAGACAAGTCTTATGTGTGTCACACACTTATGTCTAATATAAGTAGTTATGGTTTAATCCTTGGACACCAATAACTTCATTAGATATGAAGTATGTACACTAATGGAAGGTTTAAATCAAGAGATACCTTCTTTAAGCATGTTACTTGTCAAGTAGAACTGAATTAACGTTTCCAAACTAGTGGGGGAATGTTGAATAATTTGTAAATGTTTGAGATCCCACATCAAGAAAGTATAGGAACTTAAAGGAATTTATAAATGCCTATTCTTTATCAACAAACAGTTAAGTAAGTGAAACCCAAGGGAAATTAGGCTTTGGCCCTTTATATATAGTCAAAAGATGGGCACTTAGGCACTTGGGCACTTGACTGCCAACACATCTTTAATTTTTTATTATTTTTGGATTTTTTTATTTTATTTTATTAAATTATAATTTGGAAAAACATATATGAAAATCAAACATGACTATTGACAGTCAAAAGGTATCTCTATGAAATGATGTCTTTTTGTAGAGATACATCCCTTCAAATAGTAACTTTTCAAGCATTATAAATTCTTATGCAAAGTCAAAGTTCTACATCTAATTCTGAGAGAGTTTTGAGTTCTATTGTATCTTGAAAGATTTTAAATCCTTAAGAAAAGTGAGATTACACCTCAAAATAATTCTTTTATTCTTATGCTATTTAATATTTCTTAACATTATTACATAAGTTAAAGTTTTATAAAGAACATTCAGTGGTTAAAAACTTAATTAAGTTTTTGCATTGGAAATTTTAAATTTTAAATTTTAAATGGGTGAGGAAGAGTTTGAGAAGGAGATGATTATCTTTTCTATATAATTCATTGTCTACTATACCAAAAAAAAATCATTATATAAGTTGGAAATTTTGCATTTAGTAGCATAATGGTTCAAGAAAACTAGAACCAATTCATCAACAACACATTAAAAGGTTTTCTAAGGGCACAGGTTAATAGCTTTAAAAGAATAAAAAGTGATATTTAATTTATCAATTATCTAATTAAATTTATTCATGTGACAATAACACTAAAATTAATATAAGCTTTCACATTTTTTTATACAAATTTATGACAAAAAAATGTTTTTAATTTGTACCCTTAAAAAATCATTTATTAATAATAAAGAAATTTATTTTCGTTAATGCACCAAGTTGATATAAATGATGAGCTCCTAAGATTAGTCAGAAATTGATTAATGGGTGTATGCAAACTGATTTTAGAAATACTTTACCTTTCCCTAAAAAAAAAAAAATTCTAAAGCTTAAGTTAATGCGAACCAGAACCTAGAGTTTATTAGTAGTGTGGGGTAAGCATAAAGTTAATCAATTCCCTTAATCAAACGAAGACATTTGTGGGGTAATCAAGATTGAATATTATCATTTAATCGCTAAGATAAAGATTAGCGGAATAAATTACAATATCATTGAGGTAAAGTAAAGCACAAGATCATTAATTAACACATTTTCAAGCACACAGCTAACTGAAGGTCCTGTTACCGATAAGCATTACGAATTCTAGCCATCGTTTTACTGCTTTTCTTTTTCGATCAAGCTTAATCTATGTACTATGATCATCAAAATGGAAAACGACACTCTTTTTAGCTTAACTTTTTCTTTTTGATATATTAATTTTTTGTACATCTGATAATGAGTTATATATATATTAATAACAAACCGTTAATAATTAGAAGTGAGTGCGTGATGACCTCTTAAACCAATTGCTATAGTTATTTTTTCTCCTATTTGACATTCACATATCGGTTATCATTGATATATATTTTTTCCACGTTTTGATTTGTTTCCCAATATCATATTTTCTTATTGAAGTGAAAGGGTAGGCTAGACGGTTTAATTTGAGGAAGATTTCCATTAACATAAGTTGACTTGCACCCCCATTTAATCAAATCCATAGTGATAATGTTTGTTTGATTCAGTTTCTGAAATATTACTTCTGCTTGAAAAGTTAAAATTGAATTAAATCAATCATAGTTTTTTAAAAGTACTTATATCTTTTTAAAAAATTGTTTTCAATTTCTAAATGGTAAAAAGTTAAAGTTACAAATATGTAATGCTTGATATAAATCCTCTACTATTTTGTAATTATTTTACACGGTTTAACACTTCTGTAAAAAATTGACTGAAACGTCGCTTGTTCGAAAGTCATTGTTGGCCAAATTAATAATGAAATTGTCGATAGACATTATCGAAAGTTCCTACTTTGTTTTGGAAAGAAATGGGGAGGCTTTACTCTTTTTTTTTTTTTTTTTTGGTATTAACTTATCGATATTCAATAATCATATTGAATCTCAACTAATTTAAGATTGAGTCGCGTTAGACCTCACTAAAGAAAAACTCTTTCAACACCTGTTTATCTATTCACAAGACTCAAACTCAAAATCTTACTTAAGGGAAACCGAACTTTTTCCACTTGGACTAACAAATCGTTGGTTAGAGAGGCTTAACTAGCTACAGGGTAATTTGATGAAGATGATTTCCATTAACTTGAAGTTGACTTCCACTCTATTTAACCAGATATAGGATTATACGCACAAGAATGAAAAAGAGCCGGTACAAAGGCCATTGAAACGACAAGAGATAAGAAAAGATTGGTCATGAAACCAATGTCTGATAATGGGGAAACATTTTATCACCATATCATTCTGTCCTGAATGAGCCTCTGCTTCAAAGGAGAAAGTAAAAGGCCTGGTTTTTCTACATCCACAATAAAGTCAACGACAACACTGTTTGTTAAATTGTTATAGGACATTAAAGTCTTTATGTTTACCACTTCTTCAGAATTAACCCTTGAAAAGGATGTCACAAGTGTTCAAATTAGTGATTTAAATGCAGTGAAAAGTTGACATCCAACGACTTATAGTTGTTGTTATCTTTGTGCTGAATACTCCCTAAATCGTATTATTCCATGCTGGGGTTTCAGGAAATGTATAGGATTTCTCGTGATCTTTTGTATTCAAAAGGCCTCTCTCTAGGCTAGAAACACGAATTGCAAAGAGGAGAAAACCTAAAGTCAAATGTTGATAAAAAAAAAAAGATAAGCAACATAAGTAAAAACACTAAGGATGTGAAATTGGGTTAATGAGGTTTCAGTGCAGTGCAGCCCAACACAAGCACGACTACTCATAGTGGACAAATATGGGTAGCAAAAATCTGAAGTCCAACACGGAAACTCGGCATTTTCTTCAAGCATGGCTAGCAGGCTAGGCAATGGCACATGCAAATTATAATTGCATGCTGAAAGCTAATCGGGGCACTCAATTTTTCTTAGTGCATAATGTTCTCAAATTTCAGACATGGAATGGTGATGCTCCATGTAGTGATGTATACAAGACATTTGCATACATAAATATTAGAAGGAGACAGCTAATACCTGCTTCTTTTTTCGCTAGTAGATTATTATATAATAAAAAACAAGTCTTTCCAATCCATATTCGCATATCATCCAAGTAATATCTACGCAAGACATATACTTTCGAGAAGGAGGAGGTTAATTGCTGGCAAAAAACTAAGTTATTACTAAATTAGTAAATAAATAAGAGCTTATAATTTAATTAGTAAAATGCTTATTTCTTGATTCATATTTCTTTTTCTTTTTCTTTTTTGGTAAATAAAGATTGTGAGAATGTTACTTATGTCTTCAAATACATGTTTTATCCTTTATTAAAAGATAACCAGACCACTTTCTCGATTCATATATTTCACATGGGCATTTTTATTGAAATGATAAGACAAAACAACAACAGTTTTTCAATGAGAATCATCTAGAATTAAAATCCTATCACAAATGCAAAGTGGGAGGAGCACTTCCCAACTTGAGGATGAGAAATGACCATCTACATAGAAAAACCTTCTACACTAGGCTTATCCATTTTTGTTTGTGTAGCATATTGAGGCTGCAAAGTGGACTTGCTTAACAAGTAATGATATTCATCGTACTTCCCTGTACCAAATGGAGAACCTTGACAAAATGCTACGATTAAAAGTCAAACAGGGCGGAGGAGACATAAGTCTATAACAATTTCTTTGATTTTGTAGTGTTGTGAATTGGAAATCCATGTTCCTTGTAGATCATTGTTGCATGGTGGCATGGTAGTCCATTAAATCTTAAGTGTCTTAGCTCATGCTCATTTGGTTTTGATTCTAAGCGCCCACTAGGGCTTCCTTAATCCAGAAGCAAAACCAGGATCAAAACAATATTCTTAAAAGTTTTTCTGGGTTTTCTAGAAGCCAACCTAAAGTTTGTTGCTTAAATAGAGCTAACAAACATTTATTTGGCTTCTCTAGGTTACATGGGGGGCAGGGGACATGCTCTTTCAATACACAAACGTACAATGCCCAAGTATTTCAATTGCGCATGTATTCATAGGAATTAACCAAAAACATATTGGAGGAATTGGCTTCAAGATTTTCCCAGCCCCTTAAGCTTAAATTTTCTCCCACTTCCTATTTTCCCCAAACTTGAATTCTACATTTTAACGCTACAGAAAATGATAGCATTTCCTATGTTGGCGAATAGCCGCATATACTTCATCCATGAACAATAGCTTAGTTTAATGTTCTACATTCAAAGTACACCAAATGGATGGATAAAATGACAGGCAGGATTTCTTCCACAACACTAAAAATCAAAAATCCATTTTTGCCTGTACCAGAGCACAAGAGAGAAAAATAATAATAATAATAATAATAATAATAATAAAAATAAAAATAAATGATACAGGAAACAGAAGCAACGTATCTAACTTTTCATGAGATAGAGACAAACAACTCAATCAAGCACATTAAAGCAGGATATATGTAACACCTAAGAAGCTCTCAGAAATATGAAGGCTTAGATAACCTCTAATATGCTGGCAAAATTACATAAATTAGAATGTGACAACAAATTATGGTACAAAAAGGCCAATGCCAGAGTTATTAGTGGTACGCACCTTGCTGCGCACCATAGTTATGGTAAGCACTATTTGGACCATTTATGTGGGCATGTGTCATATGCTGAGTATTCCCAGGGTAGGGGCTGTGCTCTGCCTTGATCTTTTGATAGGGACTCTGCTGCACATGCAAGTTCTTATAGGGACTTTGCTGAGCACCAGTGCTTTCATACGGACTTTGTTGAGCATGCAAGCTATGATAGAAATTCTGTTGAGCATTTGTTTGTTGTCCAGCAGAACCCATGAAAGCTTGAAGATTTTGTGCAACAGTTGGATGCTCTGAAGAACCATGGTACTGAACAAGATTGGAGCCACCATATTGATAGTCTTGAAGCTTCAAACTTGCTGCCGAAACCTATAAGACACAGAAAACAATGTGGCAACCATTCTTGTTCCATTACATGTCATAAGAATAATACAGTAAGCCAAAATTTAAGAAAGAAATCTGCAGATATTTTATCCAACTATACAGGGAACACCAACACTTCTTTTGTAGTCAAGGAAATTAGAAAAGGGAAAGCAAATCAATCAAATGATGCTAACTTTTGATGAAAGGAAAACAATGGCTTGCTTAGCACTCCTATCATAATTTCATTGAACCAACTATATTAGGTACAGTCCGAAATTCAGAGTCAAAGGAATAGGTAAATTAACAGTCCATTCACATCATATGTTTCGACCATGTTTTCTGTCTCTTATCCAATTTTATTTAAGAAACAGAGTGCTAGTTTTCAGGAACGATTTATACTACCTAATGGGTTAGCTCCAAATCACTAACATTACTCGAAAGTAGTAGCAATTCCTTTTCCTTCTACCTAATATAAGTTGAAACATAATATATGGATTAAAAATCAAACTTGTTTCAACAACCAAGGGAATATCCTAAAGATAAAATGTAGCTCTTATAGTTCTTTATTTTGGAGTTTCATTTTTTTTTTTTTTTCATTTAAACATTATCCTTCTTAGGATTTAGCTCCTACAGAAGTTCACAAGAACATGGTCATTGAATTTAGTAAAACCTATTTTCTACATGTTGCTGACTCTAACAGTTTGGATTCAGTTGATTGTCATGATGAATTTCACTGATAGACAGATATTAGAAACGTGTCAAATTCATCACAATAGAATCCTATAATATATTATGGTCCCACTTAAAAATGTCTCAACTCAAGAATGCATTGCCTCTGATTGTAGCAGTTACATGCTAAAGATTCTAATCCTAAAAGTTTCAACCAAAACAAACAAGTTGGTTAAAGTAAAAAGGTAAAAAACCTCATAATTGTCACCACATCATGCCTAAAACATACCTCATCAATATTGGACATGGTACTTCTTCCAGTGCCCATAAGGGAAGATGATGCATTGTTGGGAACTTTAGCCTCAAGTGCACTGTTCATATATGGGTAACTGAAATATGAGGTAAACAACAAAACTGAATAACAAATGTTACACGTGAAATTTACAACTCCATAAACTTAAACAGCACTAATACCCAGTAGCGGTTGGTGGAACAGGATAACTTTGAGGCTCATACTCACGTCCACCACCACCCTTCAGAAAAGCATCAAAATATTTTAGTTATAAAACCAGGAAATATGAAATATATTGAAATTAATCTTAATAAACCATGCAGGGATGACTTGTACCCAATTTATAAATATGCCATCTAAAACACCAAAACCAGCGCATACTAACTATCATGACCACCAACAAAGGTACCATCAGAGAAAGAGTACCCTTAGGGAGCTTACCAAAAACTCCTAAAGCTAAATTCAACTCAAGTATTAAAAATTCTTGGCTAACTATGACATTCATTTTGAACACAAAGAACTGCAACATTAAGCTTGACAATTGTTCTATGTTATTGGCCAAAAAAAAGCGGAACCATTGAAGTAGACAGCAAGAAAGTACCTAAGCAAAAGATGGGAACATTAATAAGAGAAGAAAATACCCTGAAAGGTTCATATCCACCAAATTTTCCAGCACTAATTGCAGCAGATGGTGGAGGACCTGATCCTGGTAAACTTCTTCCAGGCCCAAATCCCTGAACAGGCCCAGTAGGTGCTGGTTCTGCCCCAGCATTTGCATCTCTAAGAGTTCTTACTCTGAGTCTTGATGCAATCTCTCCCAAAGCATCCTCAGCAACACGAAAATTGCCAGATATCTGAATGCCCAAAAGTATTAGTTTACATAATTGCAAAGCTGAAACATAAAAAAACCAGGCTATTAGGAAATGCATAGATAGATAAATAATAAATAAAATTTATTCATAAAAAATTCATGAATAAAATGATCTGCATCACCTGAACCAGTTCTTCATCCTCAGATGCACACTTAGGCTTATCATCCTTTGAATAAACACGAATATCTGCTTGTGTTCTCCTCCTCATGTCATTGATAATGTTCCCCCCTTGTCCAAGGATGCAGCCAACCTTACTTGAAGGAACAAGCAGCCTAGAAGTTATTGTGCCTTTCTCAGAGAATTCACTTGTTTTATTCTGAAGCTGAAGAATGGCATCTATGGTCTGTGATCTAGGATCGCAGAGAACCTACAAATATATATGCATGTCTACAGTAAGTGTTTCTTTAACATGCAAA